TGTCGTCTGCGTAGTTGCTGACTTTTCGATTGGGTCTCTGAGTGGACACCCAGATTGTTGATGATGAAGTATTTCTGTTACTTGGTTTTCCTTCTACCAGCCTAGCCCCTTCGCTGTATGACTGCTGAGGTCCACTCCAGGCCCTGCTTCTCTGGGGTGCACCTCTAGCAGCTGTGGCACAGTGAGGGATGCTACCAGTTTCTTTTTCTGCTATATTTGTCCCAGTATGATGTCTGCCAAATGTCAGTCTTTTGGATATAGAGGGGTCAGGGAGCTGCTTGAGGAGACAGTCTGTACTTTTTTGGAGCTCAATTGCTGAGCTGTGAGCTCTATTGTTCATTCAGGGCGGTTAGGCTGCTATGTTTGATTCTGCTGCAACAGAGCTCATTAAAAAAAACCCTTTTTTTCTCAAATGCTCTGTGTTGGAGGGTTCGGGCTTTATTTTTCGATGTCTGTTGAGGTGTCCTGTCCAGCTAGGAGGCAGACTAGCCACTGTTTGCCTGCCGAGGCTCCGCCCTGCTGTTGTGTGATTCACCCTGTTCCTGCAGGCTCTGCTGTGGTCTCCGCCATGCCCTGCGGCGGAGTCTCTTCATTGTAGCGTGTTGCCTCGGCAACAGCAGGCTGCATCAGCAGTGGGCGTGTACCTCAGTAGGGACGAGTTGCCTCGGCAATGGCAGGCTGCATCAGCAGTGGGCGTGTATCTCAGTAGGGACGGGTTGCCTCGGCAACGGTTGGCTGCGTCAGCAGTGGGCGTGTATCTCAGTTGGGGCGGGTTGCCTCGGTAGTGGTGGACGCCCCTCCCCCACAGAGCGTCTCGGACCGTCTGCTCCGGATAGTTTGAAATCACGGTTTTGTTCGTCCCACTGGGTACCCCTAATGCTCTGTCCCTGCAATCCCCTGGGCTGGCCTACTGTCCAAGTCTCGTTCAGTCTCAAGTCCAGCCCTCTCAGGTCTCAGGTTGCTGGTTCAACAGGGCACCCGGACAAGCGTGCCCTGTGGGGATTTCTGGGTCGGGCCGGACGCCGCCGCCCCGGCTGCCGGCTTCGCCAGGCAGACATACTGCCTGGCATCCCGTGTCTTTTTTATACTTGGGAGTTTCCCCGTTCTGTGGGCAACAAAGATCAGTCTGGAAATGCCGCTCCGACTCATCTCTTTGCGGATTCAACGAGAGCTCCAATCCTGGGTTGTTCTCACAGCGCCATCTTGAGTCCTCCCGAGTTTTCATTTTAATTTCAAATTTTATTTTGAAATTAAAACTGTTGCATGCACAGGTGATACATGAGCAGGTTTGTTACCTAGGTGCAATTCGTGATGCTGAGGTTTGGGGTATTATGGATTCCATCGCCCAGGTACTAGGCATAGTACACACTCAATAGTTCTTTAACGTTTTCCCCACTCCTTCCCTCCTTCCCCAGCAGTTCCCATGTCTATCATTGCCATCTTATATCCATGAGCCCCCACTGTTTAGCTCACACTGACAAGTGAGAACGTGTGGTATTTGGCTTTCTGTCCAATGCAGAATATTTTTAAACAGCATAAATTATTTCAATTTGGGGCAAGGAATCAAAGAATTATAACTGGGTAAGGGTTATGTTATTGTATTTGCTTCATGGAAAGCTTAGAAACCAGCAATTTTTCTGAAGTGATTCTACATTATAAATTCACATATTCCATTATAGATGTGAATTAAATTGATGATTAAAGAATATGTTTGGGTAAAGAGGAAACTAGTTTGAAGATGGCATTGAAAACATTATCAAGGAGTAAAATGGAAGCTCTATGCTATTTTTTTTTTATTTCTGCCTGCATTCATCTAAAAAAATTGATACTTTATTCACTTCTGATAATCTAAACACAAAGTGGCATGATCAGTGAACCTTTTAGTAACATTGGCCACTTCTTGATATAGACTTATCAGTGCTGAGATTTTATAGGTAAAGCCTCACAAGCAATCCGTTAGGATATGATATGCTATCATACATTTACAAAGTAGTGTGGAATTAAGTACAAATATTCCTTTGCTGAGAGTGCTTGCATTTGATGTCTTTTAACTTTCTGAGAAATAAAAAGTTTGATTCTCAATTAAAAATATTGGACATGAATGCACAGTGTGGGAAGAATGAAGGCAGTTAAAAGAACATCTTAGAGACTCTAAATGTATGCTATGCAAGCTGTCTGTGCTCTATCTGTGCCAATTGTATTCATTTTCATTGGCACATTTATTGAATCTAGGTTAAAACATTTTCTATAACTGATTAAAAGAACATCAGTCAGAATTTTGTATAAGTTATTTATCACCCTACCCAACCCACACCTTGACAAGAAACCCTCTGAGTTTTGTATAACATCTTTCAGATGAAAGGACATTTACGGAAAAATACATTCATGCCATAAATTTCAGCATACACCTAGAAACAATCTGCCTTCATAATTTAGTGTGTAGTCTAAGTTAAAAACAGAATCTTCAGTGAATTATTGCTCCCTGTAGTCGTAATGTGCCTTGTTTTGCTGCCCATAAAACAATATGGAAAGTGGCATTATGATGGATCCAGTAGTTAGACCATATGCCAAGATATTTTTCTGAAAATATCTTTCCTTAAATATCTAACAAAACAGGTAGCTCATCTTGGGTTGACACAAACCTGATGCACATGCATCTTTAAAACATACTTGAAAACATCCTAGAATATAATGAAAGAATAGTAAGTTGTTAGCATTATTTCAATAATTAAATAATCAGTAAGTTGGATGGTAGCACTTGTAAGGTCCAAGTATCTGTTTTGTAGTGACAGGATCATATCCTTTAAAGGATATGTGCTCACAGCTTTATTAGGTCTAAATGCTATCATGCCATCTGTGACAATAATTCTAGAGTGTGTCACTTGCTTATTATTTAAATGGTGCTACTCTGGAGCAATAGTGATATTTTTATAACTAATGCAATATTTGAGGAAGAAATCTCTGTTTTTATAATGTCAATGGTAATAAAACAAATAAGTTAAAAGATCAAAGCAGGAGTCCATTTTGGACCTAAAGAATTCATTATTTTCTACTATTCAATAATAGCTTAAAATATGAATTTATTTTTGAGCTTTGATGCAACTATTTTCAGCCTTGCTTTAGAACAAAGAGGTGAATTCAGAAGTAAGCTATTGCACATATCCTAAGTATTCAAAAGACATTCTAAGTTTAGCATGAGGCTGGGTGCGATTGCTCACAGCTATAATCTCAGCACTTTGAGAGGGCGATGCAGATTGCTTGAGCCCAGTAGTTCAAGACTGGCCTAGGCAACATGGTGAAACTTTGTATCTATTCAAAATACAAAAATTAGCTGGGTGTGGTGGTGCAGGCCTGTAATCCCATCTACTGAAGAGGTGGAGGCAAGAGAATCCTTTGAACCTGGGTGGTTGAATTTGCAATGAGCCGACCTCACTCCACTGCACTCCATCCTGGGTGACAGAGTGAGACTCTGTCTCCAAATGAAAATAAAATAATAATATAAATGCAGCATGAAAAGCTCAACTAAAAGTTCCAGCATCTCTTCCATCCATTCCTCTATCTCCACAGCAAACATAGAGTCACCTCTCTAAGGAAGATATAATAAATAGACCTCAAATGAATGAATAAGTAAATGAATAAAATGTTTTCTATAATTTGAGCTACTTTTTAAAAAAGAGCAGCGTTCCAATTATTTTAAGCCCTTCATTAAACTTATGCAATCTGACATTTCTCCCTTCCTATAGCCTCATCTCACCCTCTGCCATCTTCTCTCCAATTGTATTATTTTTTCTGTCTCCACACCCTTTTCAAGTAACTGTTGAAAATGGAAAATACCAAAGCAGCTTTTAAAATACCAAAACTAGCTTTTTATATATTAAAAGAGACTTAGTTCATAATTCGAATAAAAACTAGTAATTATAAGTAAATTGTTATGCTTCATTTTTTAAAAAGCTACATAGACAAAAAATAATTCTAACTGGGCATAATTAGTCCTAGGTTTGATAGTGGTAGAAAAAAAGAAAAAATAAAATTAATAAATTTGCTGTGTATATGCTACTTAGTTTCTTTTTGGAAACATTATAAAACTATGACAATAATCTCAAATGTCCTAATTTAACAGTTTTGTTTTGTTTGTAATGTCATATAAATTAAGATGATGGGCTTGGCATGGTGGTTTATGCCCATAATTTCAGTGCTTTGGGAGGTTGAGGGGTGTGGATCACCTAAGTTCAGGAGTTCGAAACCAGCCTGGCCAATCTAGCGAATCCCATCTCTACTAAAAATATAAAAATCAGCTGGGTGTAGTGGTGTGTGCCTATAGTCCCAGCTACTTGGGAGGCTGAGGCAGGAGAATCACTTGAACCGGGAAGGTGGGGGTTGCAGTTAGTCTAGATTGTGCCACTGCACTACAGCTTAGAGCAAGACTCAAAAAACAAAACAAAACAAAACAAAATTAGCTGGGTGTGGTGACAGGCACCTGTAATCCCAGCTACTTGGGACCCTGAGGTGGGAGAATCACTTGAACCCAGGAGGCAGAAGTGGCAGTGAGCCTAGATTGGGTCATTGCACTCCAGCCTGGACAACAGAGCGTGACTCCATCTCAAAAAAAAAAAAAAAAAAAAGGAAGAAAGAAAAAGAAAAGAAATTAACAAAATGTATGCTGTGTAATAAGCAGTTGGTACTTTTTTTTCATAGTGGATATATATGACACTCCATGTTGTTAAAAATAAAAGATGACTAATCCATCTTCACACACTGATATTAGTTTATTGTGAATAGAATATGAGACATAGAGGCTAAAGATGAGACATTATTTACTGGGTATAATGAACAGTATTTCAGTGATGGATATATTAAAAGACCTGATGTCACCAATAGACAACATAGCAATGTGACCACATTACAATTGGACCCTGTAAACTTATACAAATTAAAAAAAATTAAGTTATTTGCCTATTGGTTGCATGCTCTTGGGAGATTCATTTAAGACTCAGAGGTTTAGCTTTGCTCGGTGGCAGTATCGTAGCCAATGAGGTTTATCCGAGGCGCGATTATTGCTAATTGAAGACTCAGAGGTTTACTCATCTGCAGAATAGGGACATTATAAAAATGTTATATCAGAACAATTGTAATTAAGAAGACAATGATGAATCACTGTGTATACTTTAGTAAAATAAATAAATATTTGCTGAGAACAGATTGATTTTTCTTTGTCTGGGAAACTAGGACATTGGTCTCTCAGGTGTATGAGGTTCTTGGCTATTTTCCATGAGATGATCTTACATAAATTCAGCCAAGAAGAAAACATAAAATGCAACTTAAAGGATACAGTGCCAAAAAGCTTGGGTTAGTCCATCCGCATGACATAGTTAATATGACATTTTGGAAAGCACAACATATCTGTAAATCCCTAATAGCCAAAGTAAACCTAATAAAAAAGAACAAAGCTAGAGACCTCATGTTACCCAATTTCAAACTATACCATAATACAAAGCCACAATAACCAAACAGCAGAGTACTTGTACAAAAACAGACATGTAGTCCACTGGAACAGAATAGAGAGCCAAGAAATAATGCCCCAAGCCTACAGCTACCTGATCTTCAACTAGCTGACAAAATCAAGTGATGGAGAAAGGACACCCTATTCAATAAATGAGGCTGGAAAAATTGGCTAGTGATAGGCAAAAGATTGAAACTGGACCCCTTCCTTATTCCATGTACAAAAATCAATTCAAGATGGATGAAATACTTAAATGGAATATTATTCTGGACATAGGACCAGACAAAGATTTTATGACAAAGGCACTAAAAGCAGTTGCAACAAAAACAAAAAAATTGACATATGTGACCTAATTAAACCAATGAAATTCTGTACAGTAAAAGAAACCAGCAACAGAATAAACAGGCAAGCTATAGAAATACTAGCAACAGAATAAAGAGACAACCTACAGAATAGAACAAAATATTTACAAACTTGCATTAGACAAAGGTGTAATATTCAGAATCTATAAGGACCTTAAAGAAATTTACAAAGAGAAAACAGCCCCATTAAAAAGTGGGCAAAGGACATGAACAGACACTTGTCAAAAGAAGACATACATAGGGCCAACAAGCATGTGAAAGAATGCTCAACATCATGAATCATTAGAGAAATCCATAGAAAACCACAATGAGATAGTTTCTCACTCCAGTCAGACTGACTATTAGTAAAAAAATTATAAAGACAAAAGAAAACACAGATGCTGGTGAGGTTGCAGAGGAAAGGGGAAACCTTATAAACTAGTGGTGGGAATGTAAGTCAGTTTAGCCATTGTGGAAAGTGGTTTGGCAATTACACTATATAGTGATGAATGGATACACTATGCAGCCATGTAAATAATAAGATCATGTTCTTTCCAGCAACATAGATGAAGCTGGAGGTCATTATCCTCAGCAAATTAACACAGCGACAGAAAACCAAATAATGCATGTTCTCACTTACAAGTGGGAGCTAAACATTGAGTAAGTAGGAACATGAAGGAGAAAATAACACACACCAGAGCCTACTTGAAGCTGAGTGAGGAAGGAGAGTGAGGATCAAAAATTACCTACTGGTACTATGCTTATTACTTGGTTGATGAAATAATCTGTACACCAAAGCCCAAGACACAAAATTTAGCTATACAGGAAACCTATAGATATACCTCTGAACCTAAAATAAAAATTAATGTAAATTTAAAAATACAGTGAGAAAATATTTACATACATTTACATTGTATCATGTGTCATGAAGAACTAAAGATTATTTAAGTATAGAAGATATACATAGGTTATATGTAAATGCTATGCCATTTTACACTGGGGACTTGAGCATATTTAAATTTTGTTAATTGTGGGGGTCCTGACACAAATCCTTCATTGATTCTGAGGGTTGACTTTATACAATATCACAAGTATATGATGCAAAGATGTTCAATGATATTAGTCTTAAGGAAAATACAAGTCAAAACTATAATGAAATACTACTTCACCCCCACTATGATACTAACATAAAAACGAAAGGCAATAAATACCAATACGAATTTTGACAACTTAGAGCCCCTTACACTGCTCCTGGGAGTATGAAATGCTGTAGCCACTTAAGAAAATAATTTGACAGTTTTTAAGATGTTTGAAAATATGTTTATCATATGACAAGACGATTCCACTTCGAAGTACCTAAATGAGAAGCAAATATCCACATGTGTACTTGTTCATGAACGTCTATGGCAACCTATTTATTTATGTATTTATTTTTATTTTTTTGAGAGAAAGTCTCACACTGTCACCCAGGCTGGAGTGCAGTGGCAACATCTCAGCTCACTGCAACCTCGGCCTTCCAGGTTCAAATGATTCTTCTGCCTCAACCTCCCTAGTAATGGGCAGTACAGTTACTGGCACCACCACACCTGGCTAACTTTTATTTTATTTTTGTATTTATAGTACAGGCAGGGTTTTCACACTGTTGGCCAGGTGGTTCTTGAACTCCTGACCTCAAGTGATTCACCTGCCTTGATCTCCCAAAGTGTGCCTGACCCTATAGCAAACATTTTGTAATAGACAAAAAGTGGAGACTATCCAGAAGTTCATAAACTGACGAATGGCTACACAAAACCTGGCATATTTATATAATGGGAGGTAAGTACCAATACATGCTACTATATGTGGACACATCTAAAAACGTTATGCTAAGTGTAAAAGCCGGGCATTTAAAATATTACAGAATTTCATTTACAGGAAATATCCAGAAGAGGAAAACCTATGGAGACACAAAGTAGATTGTTTGTTGTTTGGTGCTAGAGTTGATAGTGGGAAGTGACTACAAATGTGAATGAGGGATCTTTTGAGTGTGAAAGAATGGTCTAAATTTGAATTGTGATAATAGTTTCACAATCCTGTCAATTTCACTAAAATAATTAAATTGTACACATAAAAATACATATTTTATGGTATGAAGGTTATACCTCAATACGATTTCCTAAAATATATGACACAAGAGCAGCAATGAGTTCTCAATCAACATAGAAATGCCGCAGACACAGTAACTGAATGACGGGATGAAGTGTAAAAGACAAAAAAATTTCACAAAATAAAAGCTAAAAATGTTTCAAATTTGATGAAAATTAATAACCTACACCTCCAATAAGTCCAAGGAATCCCAATCATAAGAAATATGAAGAGAGCTACATAATACTTATAATCAAACTTCTTAAAATGAATGAAAACCAGAAAAATGTAAGAACAACTCAAATCAATATAAATATTCACATACAAAGAATGACAGAGAGATTATCCGTGGGGACAATATGACTAGAAGACAGTAGAGCAACATATTTAAAATACTGAAAGAAGGGAGAAAACTTGTCAATCTAGAAATCTCTTCTCATCAAAAAATATCTTTCAAAAGTGAAGAAAAAAAAAAACACATTTTACCGACATACAAAAGTTGAAATAGGCCGGATGCAGTGCCTCATACCAGTAATCCCAGGCTGGTGGCCTTTGGAAGGCTGAGGTGAGTGAGTCACTTGAGCCCAAGAGCTCAAGACCAGATTAGGCAACATAGTGAAACCCTAACTCTTCAAAACATACAAAAATTAGCCAGACGTGGTGACAGGTGACTGTTTTCCAAGCTACTTGGGAGGCTGAAATGGGAGGATAGCTTGAGTACAGGAGGTTGAGGCTAGGTGAGCTGAGATCACACCACTGCACTCCAGCCTGGATAACAAAGTGAGACTGTGTCTCAAAAAATAAAACAAAAGTTGAAATTATCTATCACTAGCACTCCTGCAGTATTTGACATTTTAAAGAAAGTCACTCACAAAAAGAAAAATAATATCAGATGGAAATCTGGTTTTCCTCCAAAGGAATAAAAAGCACTAATAATGGTGATTATATAAATATATATAAAAATTAGACTTTTATTTCAAGATCTTTTAAATTTTGAGGTTTAGAGACAAAGCAATAATAATGTAATTGGGATTTATAACTTATGTACATGGTACATGAACATATAAAAATCTATAAACACTAAAGGAATCACTAAAATAAAACATAAAATGAAGGGTAAATGTAATAAGTCAAAGAAAAAATGGAATAAAAATCTGTAATTACGTCAAAAGGAGGTAAAAAAATAAAGGGAAACAATGGATGAGACAAAGAGAATACAGCTTTCAGGATGGAGAGTTTAAACCTAAGCCGATCAACAATAATATCAAACAACAATAATCTGGATGGTCCAATTATAAGGCAGAAATTATCTCATTATTTAAAAAAAATAACCACTGGCTACTAGGCTTTATACTGAGGTCATGAAATAATCAGTACAACAAATCTTCATAAATAATCTGTACACGAATCCCCAAGTTTATCTATGTAACAAACCTGCACATGTACCCCTGAACTTAAAAGCTAAACCAAAGTAAATTTCAACTGTATGCTATGTATGAAAAACCCACCTTATATATAAAAATGCCAATAGATTAAGAGGAAAAAGATGGAAAACTCTTCTTTGCTATTCCTAAAAATTACACTTGATTGTTTATATTAAGATCACACAAAGTAAATTTTAGAACAAGTATTACCTGAGATGAAGATGTCATGTAAGAATCATAACAGTATCAATTCAATAAGAGAACTATTATGGACTGAATGGTTGTGTCACCAAAACCATTTGTTGAAATACTCACAATATGATGGTATTAGGAGTTGAGATGTTTGGGAGGTAATTAGGTCATGAGGCTGTGTCCGCCTGCGTGTCAAAAGGCAGCACCAGTGCCACTCAGATCTGCAGAGGCAGGATGATTACGCTTGAAAGAGAAGGAGACAAGACCACTGCCCCAGTGGGTCTAGAAGGCAGAGCATCAGGAGAAACAAAACTGTTCTCAGATAGGACTTCAAAGAGTTCGACTGTGTAGGTCTGGGACTTGCTTGAGACCCATCATCCCTTTCTTCTTTTTTATTTCTCCCTTTTGGAATGGGAATGTCTATCTGATGCCTTTCACACTACTGTAGTTTGGAAGCATATAACTTGTTTGGTTTCACAGATTTACAGCTAGGGAGCAATTTAACTTTTAAATGAATTTTATCTCAAATCTTACCTATATCTGATTTACATAATAT